GGCCACCACTGTATAATGAAGCTTCCTACATTTGTTATTACACTTTAGTTACTTGTCTTACAGTTAGTTATGTGTTTTGGTGCAAATAGTATGTCATCAAGTAGCTACTGACCACCTATAGTCCCCACAGTATTATTCTATGTTATTTCACTGTTTGAACGTTCAAATCATCTCACTTTATTTGATTTCATTATCCCCTCTTACCAGCTGTTATATCACTGTTGTTAGCACCAAGTCACTCAGTCCAGGAATGGGGTGTTAACTTGACAGTTCCCGTAAATGTGCATGATTGTTTCCATTATCTGCCAGGCATGGAGTCCTACATATTTACCAGAGTAGGGATAAATTTGGGGATGTATGCAAGATGTTTTCCTTGACTTACTACCTTATTATTCAGTCTTAAACTCAGCTTTTAATTCTTTAATATAGATATAATTTTGTTTATTTTCATGGACACTTCCTGTTTTGATGTCAAATAGTATCCTTCCTTTTTTAAACTTTTTTTAACTATAACATAAACATAAAATACATAAACCAAAATACAGATTAACTGTGTTCTCTACCGCCATATACTCTTGCAATAATCTTTTTCCTCCATTTCTTCTTCTTCTTTTATTGTCCTCTTCTCCAGAACTGCATTGATTCTTGATTTGAAGCTTTCCCTTTTCCTCTTATTAACACACATTCCAAAAATATCATATCATAAAATTGTTCTTTTTCAACTCTCCTTTCCTGACCTTTATACCAATATTTTTTATTTATTCTGGCTCTCTTCCCTTCATTACAATATTTGTTAATCATTCCTTGCCAAAATTTTAAAATCATTCTCTGTTAACTGTATTGGTAACATTCTAAATAAAAAATATATATTTTGTAAAATTTTCATTTTTATCAGTGCAATCCTTCCAAACCAAGAAAGTGTTAAATTATTTGATTCCTTTAATTTCCTTTTAATTTCTTTTAATTTATTATAATTATGCTCTTTTATTTTTTAGTATCTTTTACTAAGTCTATACCTAAATATTTAACTGATTTACATATCTTAAAGTCATATTTATCAGCAAACATTTCTTGTTCTAATTTATTATGATTAACCAACATTATTTCAGATTTTTGCCAATTTACACGTAATCCAGTTATTTTTCCAAGTGAGTGTTAATTCTACCTATACTTTCTAGCACATATTTCACTGTCAATGGGGAATCATCAGCAAATAAATTAATCTTTATTTTATTATTTTCTCCCAAACCTTCAATTAAATTATCATTCCTTATTACATTTGCTAACATTTCAATAATCAAACAAAACAGAACTGGAGAAAGAGAGCAACCTTGTCTAGTGCCTCAGCCTAGAGCTATCTGTTCTGTCATCCCATCATTAACTATTACTGCAGAAGTATTCTCCACATATAATTGGTCTTTTATCCCTCTAAATTTCTTTCCAAAACCCCAGCACTTTAAAAGAATCTTTAATGTAAGCCATTTTACACACTCAAATGCCTTAAAAATATCTAATGATAAAATACCTGCCTTTGATTTATCTTTTTCTATACTATATATAATATTCAAAACCCTCCTAGTTAAATTTTCCATTTGTCTTCCCTTAAAAACCCGTTCTAATCCTCTTTAATATACAGTGGTGCCTCGCATAACGATGTTAATTGGTTCCATTAAAAACATCGTTATGTGAAAACATCGTTAAGCGAAACACCATTTCCCATAGGAATGCATTGAAAACTGGTTAATCTGTTCCAATAGGAGGCTATTCAATACATTTCAATGGTGAAAAAAAATCACCAAAAATTCAAAAAGACTCAGAACGAAGCCAAATTACTTTAATGAAGGTTTTATTAGGTGCACTAATGATTCCAACCATTTTAAACATTTTTAAACATTTTAGAATATTTTTAAAATAGCGAAAACAGGGCTGTCAAAAAAAAGTTAAGCGAAACAGGGGACCTAAAACTGTCATCGTTAAGTGAAGCAAGGTCCCAAACATCGTTATGC